ACAAAGAAAGAAAGAACTGTTGGAACAAATAGAAAAAAATAACAAATGGTACATTTAAACCCTACAATATAAAAAGACAAACAAACCCACAAAAAACAAAAAAAAAACCAACCTACAATATCAATTACTACATTAGAGGAAAATGGTTTAAACACTCCAAGATTAAATACTAGAGACTGGGAAACTGCAAAACCAAGACCAAATTATATGCCGCCTATAAGAAACTCACTTTAAATATAAAGCCACCAACAGATTAAAAATAAAAGAGAATGTTAAATCATGTTAAGAGTAAATTAAAAGAAAGCTGGAGTGACTACATGAAAATCAGACAAAGTAGACTTCAGAATAAGCATTAATACCACATATAAAGATGGACATCTCATAATAAAAAAAGAGGGATCAATTTATCAGAAAGATAGTACAATCCTAAACATACCTAATAACAAAACTTCAAAATACCTGAACTCCAAGTGGACAAAACTGACAGAGGAAATAGACAAATCCACCAACAGAGGTGCAGATGTCAACACTCTCATTAGCTGATAGAACAAATAGAAAGCCCGTTAAAATGTAGGCAACTAATCACTCTCAATCAACCAACTTGATCTGATATATACAGAACATATTCTATGGCGTCTGGTGGCTCAGTCGGTTAAGCGTCTGCCTTCAGCTCAGGTCATGATCTCGGGGTCATGGGATCGAGCCCCGCGTCAGGCTCCCTGCTCAGCAGAGGATCTGCCTCTCCCCCTCCCTCTGACCCTCCTCCCCTCTTGTGCTCACTCTCTTGCTCTGTCTCAAATAAATAAGATCTTTCTTTTTTCCTAAAGATTTTATTTATTTATTTGACAAAGAGAGCGAGAGGGAACACAAATAGGAGGAGTGGGAAAGGGAGAAGTAGGCTTCCCACGGAGCAGGGAGCCCGATACGGGGCTCAATCCCAGGACCCTGGGATCATGACCTGAGCTGAAGGCAGATGCTTAATGACTGAGCCACCCAAGTGCCCCAATAAATAAAATCTTAAAAAAAAAAAAAAAAAAAGAACATATTCTATCTAGTGTACATGAAACAGTCACCAAGAAAGTTCATATACTGGCCATAAAACATTAAAATGGATTTTTAAAAACAAATTATAGCTTATATTCTCTAACAAGAACATAAATAAATTAGAATCAGTAATAAAATGATATGTGGAAATTCCTCAAATATTTGAAAATGAAACCATATGCTTCCAAGGATCAAGGAAGAAGTCACAAAGGGAATAAGGAAATATCACACACTAAATGGTAATAAAATCACAACATATCACAATCTGTGACATATACCTAAAGCAGGGCTCAGAGGGAAATTGATAGTTTTAAACGCAGAAAACAAGAAATGTCTACGATTAATGACGTAAGCCTCCAACTGAAGTTAAAAGAAAAGTAAATGAAACCCACAGTTAAGTAGGGCGCCTGGGTTGCTCAGTTGTTAAGTGTCTGCCTTTGGCTCAGGTCATGATCCCAGGGTCCTGGGATTGGGCCCTGCATCGGGCTCCCTGCTCTGCGGGAAGCCTACTTTTCCCTCTCCCACTCCCCCTGCTTGTGTTCCCTCTCTCGCTGTGTCTCTGTCAAATAAATAAATAAATAAAAATCTTAAAAAAAAAAAAAGAAACCCACAGTAAGTAGAAAGAAGACAACCACCACAATAAAGGAAAAACCAAAGAAACAGAAAACTGAAAAAATTAAAAGATGGTTTTTGGAAATGATGAATAAAACTGACAAAACCTGGGGCTCCTGGATGGTTAAGTCGTTAAGCATCTGCTTTCAGCTCAGGTCATGATCCCAGCATCCTGGGATCGAGCCCCGCATCAGGCTCCCTGCTCGGCGGGGAGCCTGCTTCTCCCTCTCCCACTCCCCCTGCTTGTGTTCCTGCTCTCGCTATCTCTGTCAAATAAATAAATAAATAAATAAATAACTTAAAAAAAAAACCTGACAAAACTCTAGCTAGACTAACAAAAGAAAATGAAAAGAGAAAATACAAATCACCAGTATCAGGGGAAAAAATGACTTTACTAGAGATCCTACAGACTTTAAAAGTATTTATATTATAAATAATTCTATACCAATAAACTTGACTACTTAGATGAAATGAACAAATTACAAGATTGATACAAGGAATAGCAAATCTGAATAGCTCTATATCTAATGCAAACCTTGACTTTATAATTGAATACCTTCCAATAAAGAACACTATGGGCCCAAATGGCATCACTGTTGAAGTATATTAAAATATTCAAGGTGTGCCTGGGTGGGTCAGTTGGTTGTCTGCCTTTGGCTCAGGTCATGATCCCAGGGTCCCAGGGTTGGAGCCCTGTGTTCAGCAGGGAGTCTGCCTCTCCCTCTCCTTGTGCCTCTCCCCCCACTCATGCTCTGTCCTGCTGTCTCTCGCTCTCTCAAATAAATAAAAAAATCTTTAAAAAAAGAAAAATTCAAGGAAGAATTAAAACCAAATTCCACAAACCAGTTCAGAAAACAGAAATGAAGAGAACATTTCCCTGCTCCTTTTAAAGAGCCAGAGTTCCCCTGATACCAAAACCAAAGACAAGAAAACTACAAATAACATCTCCTAGTCCTGCCACCACCACACACACATAATACACAAGAGTCATAAGATTTGAACTGATATCCAAAAAAGAAGACTGGTCAATAAGGTCATAAGAAGAGGTTCAACATCATTAGTCATCAGGGAATCACAAACTGAAACCAGTATGAGATAAAACCTTTACGTGCCCAGGAAAATGGCTAAAACTAAATAAGACTGACAATACCAGATGTAGACGAGGATGTAGAACAAATCAAACTATAATTTATTGCTGACGGATGGGAGTGGAGCGAGGTAGGAGTATGACACAGTCGCTTTGGAAAATAGTTTTAGTTTAGTATCAATTTAACATGAATTCAACATATGACTGAGCAATTCTACTTTTTACCATATAGCCCAGTATTTATCCTTGAAAAAAGAAAACTTAAGTCTACACAAAGGCTTGTGAGTATTTATAGATACTCTCTTCATAGCCCAAATCTGGAAAAAACCCAAATGTTAATCAACAGGTACATGGATACACAAACTGATATTTTCATACAATACAAATAAAAAGGAACTCAGGAATAAAAAAGAACAAATTACCAATATATTCATGAACATGGAAGAATTCCAAAAGCAGATGCTGAGCTAAAGAAGGTAAACATATATACTAAAGGAGTACACACTGTATGGATTCCATTTACATGAAATTCTAGAAAAAGCACAACTTATCTATAGTGACATAAAACAGATCAGTAATTATGAGGGGCCAGTGGTGGGGGTGAGGCAGACTGCAAAGAAACATGAGGGGACTTTTGGCGGTGTCGGAAATATTCTAATTCTTGACTGGGGTGGTGGCTACACAGGGGCATACACCTACCAAACTCCAACTGTACATTTATTAGGTGTGTATTAAGGTTGAAGTAAAAGAGGGTGAGGGTACACATACAGGCAGAAAGTTACATGCCTACCTCACATTATTCACAAAAATAAATTGGGCTAAAGATAAGCACAGAAAACAAAATTGCAATTACATTAAGGTAAAAAATAAGAGGGTAGGCTTATGATCCTGGGGAAGGAAAATGCTTCTTATTAACAAGACATTGAAAAGTAAAAGCTTCACAGAAGAGAACGATCTACTTATTCATCAAAATTAAAATCTTCCAGACCATAATACTTAAAAGGACTCTAACAGGGCAATGTATTTGTAGCACATAGAAGAAATTATTAGAATCCAGAATTCAAACAACACAAAAAGAAATCCTCCTTAAACTCATTAGGTGAAAGATGCAACACCAAGAGCAGAGATTCACCTACAGAGTAAATTCACCTACAGAGAAATCACACGGATGACAATGTGTAAAGATGACAAACCTGACTAGCAATCTAGGAAATGAAATGCCATTCTGCACTCAAAAGACTGGTGCTTCAAATAACAAATGGTGACGTGCATGTGAGGAATCGGAATAGAAGCGGGAGTACTGACTGATAGAACTGATACAGAGGGAATTTGAGAATATATATTAAATATACCATCTCAATACTCAACAATTCTACTTCTTACTTTACACAAAAGAAACTCATATGCACACAAGAAGGCATGAAAAAGATACCACACAAGCAATGTTTATGGAAATGAAAACTTGGCAACAACTTAAATACCAAAGGGAAATAATTCAACTAAAATACACTTATACTATAGATGCAAATATAAGAAATGAAATACCTGTATATGTAATCTATGACACTTAGTAACACAGAATGATCTCTAAGGCCTATTGCTGATTAAAAATCCAGAACAATAAATCTGGGCAGAAATAAAGTCAAAGAGAGAGTGCTTACACATAATGATCACATATGTATGTCTGCAAATGCTTGTGAAAAGACTTGCACAGGTATGCATGGAAGTTGCTCTGGTGAGATGGAAGAGGCAACACTGGGAAAGGCTATTATTAGAGGTCCTGGTCAAACTTCCACAAGGAGAATATATTCTTCTATTATTCGTGTAAATATAAATTAATGTTAAAAAAAAGAAAAGCACATCTGCTGATTGTCGTTGAACTTGGAACCGTTGTCTGAGGAACCTCTCTCCAGAGCACATCAGTATAGCTGCTATGGTCCAATGGAAGGGGGGCGTCCTCAGGCAAGAGCTTGAGAAGCCCTTACCACCTGCAGCCTAGAACAGTTTGCAACAAACACTGATGCCTTTTAATTCTCTTCCCAATTGCCTTCAAAGCTTTTTCAAGAACCTCTTAATCCAAGTCGCTCTTGATTCCATTATCTTGTTTTATTTTCTTCATAGCAATGATCACTATTTGCACTTATATATCTATTGTCTGTCTCCCACTAGAATGGCAAGACAATTTTGAATTCCTATGATTTTAGTCAAGCCATTTAGAGTTTTCTAACAGTATCAAAGACACATGTTATTTACTTACCTTAGTTGGAAAAGGAAATTTGGAAGGTTCTGTTTTGCATGGTGTATGAATAGCCGTTAGAGGGGGAGGCCATGAATGCGTCATCTCCTGAAATGTAATTATTACAGTTTGTTTTCAACCAGTTCAAGGATAAAAATTACATAGCTAAAAACCAGATTTGTATTATAAATGCTGGTTTCATGATAGGTCCTCCAAAAGTATACATATTTAATCAATAAATATTAATTAAGCACAATTGTGTGCAAGGCACTATGGGGCAGGAAACAGATAAATAATATCCACTCCCTGGCTTCAAGGAGCTTGGAGCTAAGATGATGAAACCTGTGAATCATCACAGAAATACGCCAGTAATCAAATACAAGGTACACAGTACAATGTACTGAAGAAGAGCGTGCTGTGAGAGCGGGAGGGGTGGGTAATAATAAGAAAAGGAGCTAACATTTATTGTGTACCTTTAATGGGCCAGATACTGTGCTGTTTTACAGGTCTGTTACTCATTTAGTACTCACAATGATATTAGGAGGTAGATACCATTATTATCCTAACTCTATGTAGGATGAAACTGAAGCACAGAAGTTATTTATTAAAGGCCACACATTTGTGGACACAAATGGACACGAAATTTCATCCTAGGAAGTCTGGCTACAGAGCCCATTCGCTGTTGGGAAGTTTTGGTCAGGTGGAGGAAACCAGAAGAGAGATTACCAAAAGCACATGAGAAGGAAGACAGACAAGCAAGGCCATAAGTATGATTTCATTCAATGCCTTCTGTTTAATCACATGCCAACTATGTTCAAGTGGAGATTTGGGTAAGATCACAATGTGTATGTTTGAGGAGCAGGGGAAAGAGAGATATCAGATTTAGAATAAGGAAGGAGTGTTTTATTTCTGGCATTTAGTTCAAAGTAAGCCATTAGGTACACTGAGAAAATACAGTAAGGGTGGTTTAACTTTTAGGAATTTACTCTGTAGCTATACCCACACAGCTAGGTAAAGATACATGTTCAAGGGGCCTACACTTCAAAAATGGAAACAACCGAAATATCCAACAGCACAGAATAATTAAATAAATTACCAGATAGCCATACAATGGAACACCAAGCAGACAGTAAATGAGGAATTTAACTACTGCTATGAAATGCTGTCCACAATATACTGTTAAGTGATAAACAGAAATCACAGTCTATGTCCTGGTAAATGTTTGTATATGAAAAAATATATATAAAAAAAATCTCTGGCTACCTTTGGGCAACAGAACAACAGAAGGGGAAAGAGACCTGGGCACTCGATACAGTCTCTACTACTGGAACTTTGTAAAACAGCCACCTGCACCATTAATTGCTCTTTATCTTCTTACAATGCTTTATTTTTTTAATAGCATTTCACTTTCTGAAATAATATTAAAGAGTTGATTATTTCCAATATCCAGCAAGAATGTCAGCTCAAAGGGTGCAACACTATCATTATCACCACTGTTACCCAAAGAGCTTGATACATGACAGGTGCTTCATTAGTAAGTCGTGAATTAATCTTGCTTGTTTTTACAATAAACAGTTATCATTTTTAGATTAAAATTTTCTTCTTTAAGTTTATGATGGAGTTCCTAGAGATAGTATGACTACAAATATCAAGAAAACATGAAGGCAATTTGGACCTGCAGTTCCTTATGCACTGCATACAGGGAAAGGAAACAGAAACTCGGACACTCTTAGGTTTTCAGTGCTGGCATTTTACACCTCAAATACCGAAGTACTTTCAATAGAAAATCTATTTAACTCCATCATTAAATGACTGAGCACCTATTATACCCAAGGCCATGTGCCAAGCCCTATATATATAAAATGAAGAATAAATGGTCAGTATCATCAAAGAGATAATTAAATGTGAGAATATCTAAGATTCTACCAGGTATTACAATGCCATGCATCTTTGAGGATTCAATGAGAAAAGATAAATGCTCTGTTACACTTTTCATATACATGGCAACTGAAAAATGCATGCTATATGAGATTCTTTTTTTTGCTATATAAGATTCAAAAGAAAGAGTTATGTGATCTGATGGTCTGACACAGGGGAAAGGATTACACTGAGATTCTAAGAAAAAACAGAATCTGTTTATGACTAAAGACAAAGGAGAAACATATTTCACAAAAGTTTACTTTAAAAAGGTAAAAGAGCAAAAAGAAAGCGTACGGCTTAGTGAAACCAATTTGACAAAAGTGGTGAATCAATAGTGAGAGAGGTTAGAACCGGCCTGTGAAAGGTCTAGAACGTTAAACCTGGACACTATTCTTTCTATGGGGATTAGAGAGAGAGCCACTGAAATGTCTAAGACAGAAATTAACTTATGAAGACAATGGATTAAAGGGAGAATCTGGTAGCAATACAGAAGACAGATAGATGAGCAAAGCCAGGACTGTAGATTGCAATTCTTGAAGCCCAAGGTGGCAGAAATCGAAATAAAGGAGTGGCATTTTCAAGGAAAATTCAAACTGTACATGAAGTTTTGTGATTAAGTAGAACATGAGAGAAAATTAGGATTTTACACTTAGAAGCACAGGAGAATGGTGGTACTACTAAGAGAAGGAAGTCTGATAAATCTGCCTTCAGATATGTTCAATCTAAAGAAGCAGGGAGAAATGCAAATGGACACATAGCTACGAAGCAAGAGACATAAACCACAATTCAGAGGAGGCCAAGGACGAGAGAAAGACTGAAGAGTTAACAGGGGAAGCCATAACAATGGAGGAAAATCAAGATGGAGCAGAAAAAAATGGAGAAGCTAGGAAAAAGACCCATGTTGAAAAGAGAAGACACCAAGGCTCCCAAAAGGCAGAGAACGAGAGATAAGAAAGGTAGATGGAAATAAAAACAGGGAAGCATAGTAACAGTCAAGGAAGGAAGAATGAGGTTTCTAGAATGAAAAACTAAAAATTCTTGAGAACAGTAGAAAGAGCAGAGAACTCAAATGAAGCACCCAGTGAAGGGGAAGATCATGAGCTTAGAGAAACAGCTTCAGCAACATGACTGAGATAAATGAGAGACTGTGTTGGGCTGAAGAAAGGAAGGAGAGAATAAAGCGGAAGTAGCAATGCAAGTAGTCTCTCAGAAGGATTCACGGTGAAATGCAGGTACAGACACAAAAAAATCAGGAGCTTATGCAGAAAGTACAAGTCAGACGTGACGGACAGTTTTTCTCTACTGAGCCAAAAGCAGTCACTGTCACTCATTAATCCACTAGACTGTCTCTTTTTCCAACTGACAACTTTTTCTTTTCCCAGAAGAGGAATGCACATTTTGGTCATGTGTCAATTTTAAAACATATTCCATCCAACACTCAAAGTGAGCTGTATTAGGAGGAGGTCTTTCACTGTAGGAACTGACCAGTAGGTACAAATGAATTACAAAGCAAGCTATCTTCACTGAAACGGTTTGACTGGTAATTACTGATAAGCCTTAGAAAGTACTGTTGCATTTGGCTTCTTCCTCTTTTCAAGGCAAACTATTATGACGGGAATTTGTTTTACTTAAAAATGAAAAACAAACAAAACCAGTTCTTCGAGGGCAGGCAGTAAACAAACCAAATGACTCAGAAACTAAGTATGAAAATAGGCATAACAGAGTCAATTATTTTTTATAGACATAATGAGGTTTCACATGTAAGCAATCTGCTGCCCCAGATCCTTTGTGAAATATCGGGGGGAAGAGGGCAAGAAGATAGCAGAGGATCATAAACAAAAAAGACAGAAAGTATTAAAACAACAACAGTAACTTACTTTAAGAATTTCATCCACACAGCTCACGTCACCAGAAGCAGATGCCTTAAGAAGAAAAGAAACACACATTAGATTTGGGGTCATTTATTATTAGATTTTTATTATTTGTTGCACAGATTCAACAACACTATTAGAAAACGAATTAAATTTAAAGACTTATTTATGATTCCACTATTCTAAATCACAACACTAATTAATCTTTCAACAAATTTCCCTAAATGCAAATTTTTCAAGCTCTAAAAAATTTTAATCACCAACTGTACAAGGATTTGAAGAACTTTGTATTTATCAAAAGTTTTGAAAAGTCTTATATTTCTTATACTTAGATTAGAAATAAATTTTTAAATGCTCCGCAACTTGTCAAAAATTTGAGTTTATTTATATACAAAATATACCATGATACTGAAATACATTATTTCACATAAACTAACAAACAGAATAAAACCAGCATTATTGAAAGAATGCTTGACTGGAATATGATGGACATTTCACACAGTTTCCTTAAATCATGGCAAATCTGTTTATTCTAAAGCACAGTCAGGAACTGGAGAGCTAGAGTTTGAACTCAAGTCTACCTCCAAGGATCAAGTTGTTTGAAGAAAGAACAAACAACCACTTCACTATTCTCTTCAGAGGAGTAATTAGATGACAACTGCCATGAACAATGAGTTTCCTAAGGCCACAGGAAAAATGTCTAAATATTCTTAAAACACCATTTCACCTACCCGTGACCCCTTCCACAACCGTTTTAAGCTATGAACTATGATTTTCGTACTTCTACGAAAGTACGAAGACTACTTCTAAAATTTTTTCTTTTAAAAGATAAAACTTAAACTATCTCACAGTGAATACTCAGTTTCTTTAGTTATTCTGATGCTTTGGTATGGAGTTATAAATACTGTAAATTTCAAACCACCACTATGAATCTAGAGCAGCTGTCTCAAACCCTTAAGTGTAAACAGAGAAAAAAAACTCATGGCATCCAAACCGTACAACACTACCATCTTGATGGACGCCCCTCCAAAATCCCAACATTCACTACAATGAACCACAGCCCACATTGCATTCATGAGTATCACAATGAGACTACAAGTTATTTTTTTAAACAAAAGAACACAAGACGTATTCTTTCATAAAATCAAAAGGAGGAAATCTAAGGTATTGATTTCACAGATCATGCTTTTATTCACATTTTCTCTACTGCCCAACAGGGGAAGCTAACAAGTCTATTGATCCACTCTGGAGTCAATCACAAGTCTTATTTTTAAACTTATATATACCCTATTATTAAAACTGAGACAAAATTTAAGTTCAATTATAATTTCATAGTAAACTGCTTCACAGAGTCATAATATTAAAAGCTCTAAAGGGCTACTGGGTGGCTCAGTCGGTTAAGTGGCCAACTCTTGATTTTGGCTCAGGTCCAGATCTTGGGGTGCCAGGAGGTTCTCTCTCTCTCCTTCCCCCTGCTCCTCCCCCTGCTCCCTGTCTAAAATAAATGGCTAAATTAAAAAATAAAAAAGGCTCTAAATGTGTAACTTACATCCAACGGTTGGGAAGGTATTTTCAGCTTGGTGAGATGTGCTTTGCTACTGGGCTTCAGTTCAGTCATGCTGTTGCCATGGGATTGGCTACTGTAGTGCTCAGAGGACAACTTTGGTTCCATGGACTCCTGTCCATCCATGGGCCGCACATAGGCAGTGGGTTTCTGTAACATTGAACTGGACTTTGACATCAAGGAAGGTGGGAAAGACTGATTTGAATGCTGCCCACTTGAAAAAGGTACACGGGAAGGAGAATCCCAGTTTGCATCAGGGTCCCGAGGTGATTTGGAACGCTGATGTTCCTTGCTATGGTGATCATTCCCATGAGACCTGGAATGACTGGAGCTTAATGAAGAAACAGCCTGGGGTTTTCCAGGGCTGGCAGAGCGTGATTTGGAGTGTTCCGATCCATGCTGGCTTTTTTTCCGACTACTGCCTCCACTACTGCTGTATGAGTCACGGTCATGCCTCTGGCCACTACTGTTGGTGCCACCACTGCCACCTGCACTGGTCCGCTGGCTACTGTGTCCACTCTGCAAGCCTGAGGACCGTTTCTGAGACTGAGAAGTACTGGGTGCAGGTCCTACTGGAGTCCATTTGCTACTCTGATGAGAGGTCCCATGTCTCTGTTCAAAGAAATTTGGGTTAGATTTTTCATCTGCTGTCGGTGGTACTGTAGGCTTGGGAATTGCAACAAGCTTTGGTATAGATCTGTCTCCTATGAAATCCTTCATTTCATCGTAGTTTCCAAGCATACTCTGAATACGACTTGATAGCTTATCTTCTTTGCTAGTCTACAAAAAATTGTAAAATAAAACAATATAATTAGTATAACTGGAACTAAAAGATGCTTCTATAAATGGACTTTCCAAACTTCAAATGCAAAGGCGTTTTTCAAAGGGAGGCCTCGTATCTCATATCTTAAGGTTAACATCTCAAAAGCAAACTCCAAATATGTAATTTTTATAGTGGAAAAAATGCATCAAAAGTGAAAAACATTCATGCAAAAACACAAATATTCTATAGGATATTGAGAGGTATGTACAAAAGATTCCAGGAGGGAAAAAAATCCAAATTTCACCAATAAATATACTGAAACATTAGTAGAAATCTTCTGAAGAGCAGGAAAAGTAATGGGTCTTTATGTAGTTAAGTTCTAGGTGAGCAAATTAGCCAACACTCATTATTTTGGCAATGTAGGAAAATATTTTATTCCTGGAGTTCAATGTTATAGTTAAAAGGAGAAACAAAAATTTAATGAAACATGTTATAACCCAACTGACCTTTTAAAAAATTTTAATTCCTTCAGTTACTGTGACTAATTAAGTTAATAAAAGTCAACAACAAATTAAGAATGGAAAATCTACTGATAAAGTTTCAAATATTAATTCTATTAATTCTGATCAAGAAACACTCCAAGTTTTGAAGCCAATGGTACAGACTGTAAGTTTTAAAAATCATTCTTGGACAAGAAGAAAGTCCAAAATATCTACAAGCTTTAGTACTCTTTCATGTTCACAAACATGAAAGAGTGTAAGCTTACTGATTGCATTAAATAGGAAATCAAGACAGAACCACTATTTATTTTGAGGTTGGCATGAATTGATAAGACTTTAGATTATTTGAAAATCAGTCTGACCCCTACTAAACAAGAAGGGGAAATATATAGCAATTTGTAGACAACATCAAGTTCAGGAATCAAATCCAATTCATTACAATGTAATTACAAAATAAATGGTAGTATGATTTGAAGATTCTGGACCAAACTCCTGGAGTTTTTTTGAAATGGCTTTAATCCCTAATCCCAAACCCCAGGTTTCGTGTTATCATGTTATACTCATATAAATGATGTCAGTGTAATTTGCCTTTAAATGAAAATCCTTAAGAACTTGTAAAAAATGGCTTTTAGAGGGGCTCCTGGGTAGCTTAGTCAGTTAAGGGTCTGCCTTCAGCTCAGGTCCTGACCCTGGGTCCCGGGATCAAGCCCCGCATTGGGCTCCCTGCTTTGGTGCGGAGTCTGCTTCTCCCTCTCCATCTCCACCCAGCTTGTGCTGTCTCTATCTTTCTCTCTCTCAATAAATAATCTTAAAAAAAAAAAAAAAACGGCTTTTATAGATCTCATAGCTTCTACAAACACCAAACGTTACCAGGGTAAACCTAGAATACGTTGTTATATTTATATTTCATCAGAAAAATGTCTAACACACTCTCAGTCTCACACCGTAAACCAACAATGGCCATTACTGCTGCAATACCATTATACACAGTATAAGCCTTTAAAATGTAAGGGTAGATCAAATGAGCCAAAGCCAAATCAAACATTAGAGACATTTGTGGCCACTACAGCCACATTAGTCATCAGAAGTGATATCATTCAGTGTTTTATGTAATCCCAAATCAAGTTTAATGATAGTTACAAAACTAGTAATTGGTTCACTTTACTGAACATCTCTGACAAGAAGCTTTTAATCTAAATTGGATATTGTTCATTAAGCCCATAAAAAAGAAAGTCAGATAATTTAGTATAAAACAGAAAAAGGAACTGGACTGATACTGAAGACACATTTATTCAAATACAGTAGTAGTCACTGATATTTAGTAAACTAAGTAAGCAAATGGCAAGAAACAAGGGAAAAGCAAAAGAATCTCTGAAAAAGTTGTCTTTGACATTATATTATACCCAAAAGAATGTAAGAAACAGTAGACGATCCATACCCATTTACAAAATTTTAATTTAATTCAGAAAGGTGAAATACCTGCCCAGGGTTAGCGGGAGAGCCTGGGATATAGATATGAATGTTTGAGCTAATCCAGACCACATATTCAAGAATGTGGTATGAGATAGCAACAGGGGAAGGGAGGAGATTTAGGTTTGAGGATGACTTTAGGATGCTAATAATACTGTTTCTTGGTCTGGGTACTGATTATATAAAGTTGTTCATGTTGTGAAAATTCTTTCAGCTAAAACACTTGTTTTGTGTACCTTTCTGTATGTATGTTATACTCCAATGACAAGTTTACCCCAAAAATGTACATTCTTATTTAGAGGAAAGGAAAAATGTTAAATGGCATATATGATAGTAACTCTTTTCTACTATCAAAATTCAAGTTTATACACTTGAAAAGCAAAAATGTCACACTGCTGGGGGGAAAAAACCATTCACAGGACTACTCACAACTTTGTATGGCTCGGCAAAGAGAGGAGAGCTAGGTGGGAAGGCGTCTTCACCCTGCTGAATTTCCTGATTCCGCCTTTCCCGTTCTTTCATACGCAGCACATTTCGGTCTTCACGGTTCATGTTGCTAAGAAGAGAAACACAATCTTTGTATCACAAAAAGGAAAATTAAAATTAAAATGCTCTGTACTCATTTTGTGAGTTTAATGCTTCATTCGGAGATTCCCTTTCGACTTCCAAGTAGTAGCAGGCATTAGTGCTGAAGCTGGGTACTGGTAATGGTTTTACCAACTAATACCAAGTGTCTTGCACAACTATTGAGACAGTAAACACTAGCCCAGAGTACTAGGATCCAACCCATTGAAACACTTAACCTTATCAATTTTTTAAGTATTCAGCTAGCTAAAAGTCAGTTAAAACTTAAACATTCAGATAGATGGAAGGTAGTACTTCAACCCAAATCCTTAAGATTCCTACAAGCCTTTCACAGCTTCCTCTTCAGAAATCTAACTATTCTTTGCCATTACTGGCACACAAACCCACTCCCGCCTACCACTCCCTCCCCCCCAGGGTCCAGCGCTTTTCTCTACTTTGCATCTACCTTATCTTGATTTCTTTTTGTCCCAAACACAGCTTCCTTGGTGTCCATCCTTATGGCAGTTTGACCTCAGCTTTGCTGTTGCTCTAGATTCCCTAAAAAACGATATTTCTGCTCTAAATACAGTAATATTTCAATCAATACCTCAATAAATGGCAAAACTGAGGCTTTCAGTAATAGAATCTAAAATTAACTTGGGTTAGTAATAGTAGTTGAAATTGTACTGAAAAAGAAAGTCTTTTGGAATGGAGGAGAAAATGAGGGTGTCATTTCTATAAACATTACAGCATGTTGTATTTTTTCACTAAGAACAAACTAAAGAAGATAGTTTGTTTATAGCGGCAGGGACTTATGGTTAAATAGATAATAATGAAAAAGGTTGTGGAACCCTGGGATAAGGGATTACCAGGGACTCTGCAACATTCTTCCCTGGAATTAGAGTAAACCATCTATCTTGGTTTTGTCTGGGGGAAGGGGGGGACAGGGACACAGGGAGTCCTGCTGGAGACTGAAGGAGAAAACCAGGTTATACTCGTAGAGCATTTCTAGCTTTATGATTCATAAATCAAATCTAGTCGGAAAATTAAAGTAAATCAAGATTGGAAAGCAATTGTAACTGTAAAATCACAACGGACAGCAGGGACGCTTGGGTGGCTCCGTCAGGTAGGAATCTGGCTTCGGCTCAGGTCCTGATCTCAGGGTCCTGGGACTGAGGCCTGTGTAAGGCTCCCTGCTCAGTGGGGAGTCTGCTTCTCCCTCTCCTTCTGCCCCTCCTCACTCCCCACCCAACCCTGTTCGTGCACTCTCTCTTTCTTAAATAAATAAAATCTTAAAAAAAAGAATGGACAGCAAAACCAATATACTCTTGAGGATTTTTAGGTGGTTAGAACAGTGCTAGTAAACATTCAAAAGTAAAAATTTACAATCAAAGCAATTTAATATTTAAAAAATATTTTAAGTGCTCCAAATGAATATTCAGCTTTTTCTATTTGTATAATATTCTAATAAACTTAGACAAGAATATAAGCTATTTTGAGGTGTTGAAATAGTATGTGCTTTCTTTGGTCTCCCTGGTACTTAGCACCATACAGAAGCACAAAAAGTATTTGATTCTTACGGGGTGTCTGGGTGGCTCAGTCGGTTGAGCATCCAAGCTCAAGTACGTGAAACCGACCCCACTTGTGCTTGGGACTCTCTCTGCTCCTCCCTCCCATTCCCATCCCCACGTGCTTGCTCTCTCTCTCATTAAAATAAATAAGTCTTTAAAAAAAGTTTTTGATTCCTTCAATAAATACTAGAAAATATCTATACTTTGGTATTCAGAGAGTGAAACCAAAGAACATATGTTATCCTCCAGTACACTTGAACCAACTAGTAAGTGTGTATCACTAACAATCAGGTTTCAGATAGACCTCTGCAACTATGGTGCATATGAAGTTATTTGTATCCTAAGAGTCTAAGGGGCATATTAAATACTAATTTCTTTGCATTTCCTAAATTCAATTCCTTAAAAAAATGTCTTCCTTAAACTATGATTTAATTAAAGTGCTAAAGTAATGCAAGAAACACGTGTACGGGGTGCCTGGGTAGCTCAGTCGCTAAGCGTCTGCCTTTGGCTCAGGTCATGATCCCAGGGTCCTGGGATGGAGCCCTGCATCTGGCTCCTTTCTCAGTGGGAAGCCTGCTTCTCCCTCTCCCACTCCCCTTGATTGTGTTCCCTCTCTCGCTGTGCCTTTCTGTCAAATAAATCAAATCTTTACAGAAAAAAAAGAAACACTTGTACATTTATTGTAGAAATAGATTTGATTCCCACAATATAATTCTTCCTATAATCCAATAAAAAAGTGTTCTCTTTTCTTAAACAATGAAAGTCATCTGACTGAATATTCCTTTTAACAAGACTGCCAAGAAGCAGAACAAAATTAAATGACTGCTTATAAGAGTCAATATCCCAGTTGTAGCTCTTATTCTAATTTTGTTCTGATCTGCCTTATTTTCACATCTGATTTATCAGATCCACATTTTTCTCCCATGTCTTTAAACATTAGTATCTGCCTAAGATAAAGTTTCCCACAAAGCAATAATTTTAGTAATCAATGTGAGCTCCCCTAAAATTAACATGAAATTTAAAGGAGTCAGTTTGAGGTATATCTTTGTTGTATAGGCAAACCTATTTCATAGCATTTCCCTCAGGACATCTGCAACTACTACACTGAAGAAGATGTGGTTAAAATTAGCTAATTGCTACAACAAAACAAAATCTGTGGGACAACCAGAAAAATAATTTTTAAAAGAATATTAGCAAGTAGAAAGGAGAGTTCTCTACTTAAGGTAAATTGTTTTAAGTGCCCATCAAGTACTTATGTTAAGTTGATACACTTATTGCAAACAACATTCTATGGTGTAACATAATGGTGTAGCAATTTCGTTGCTACAAAATGGAGCAAATGAGTAAATATACTGAGATTTTTGAGGATCCAAGCATGTTACTATGAGAGATGAGGGATACAAATATACAAAGGAATAGGGAGAAAAATAACTTTTGGGGATTAGGCGCTAGAAATAGTACTATGAACACATGCTTGTATTTTAAAGATCTCTATCAATCTACCGACAGAGAGAAACAGTCTCCATTTCCGTACACTGAAAGAGTCTAGGAGCAGGAACACACCAGAAAAAAGAATCACCCTCAGCACCCAAATTCTGATTTTTTTTTTTTAAAGATTTTATTTATTTATTTGACAGAGACGCAGCGAGAGAGGGAACACAAGCAGAGGGAGTGGGAGAGGGAAAAGCAGGCTTCCCGCTGAGCTGGGAGCCCGATGCAGGACTCGATCCCAGGACTCCATTATCATGACATGAGCGGAAGGCAGATGCTTAATGACTGAGCCACCCAGGTGCCCCCCAAATTCTGATTTCTAATATCATATCCTACTAAAGTTGAATAGGACTTCTTGGAAAAAACAGTTCATTCCAAGGCTGCAGCAGAGGAAGTCCAAAGAGATCTTAAAACATCTTGTTTCAACAGGAAGAAAATGCACAAAAACAGATGGAGACATCAAAAGGGCACGGGAACAAGCCTGAAGGTGCTCTCACCAGTCAGATTTAGAAACATGAGCATCAAAATAAAGACAAGAATGGAATATAACCAAATGAGCAAAAAAAGAATCCCTGGGGGGGCGTGTGGCTACCTCAGTCAGTAGAGCATGCTACGCTTGATCTTGGGGTCATGAGTTTTCAAGCACCATGTTGGGCATGGAGCCTAGTTAAAAAACAAAAAACAGGGGCGCCTGGGTGGTTCAGTCGGTTAAGCAGTTGCCTTCGGGTCAGGTCAAGATCCTAGCATCCCGGGATTGAGCCCAGCATGGAGCTCCCTGCTCAGCAGGGAGTCTGCTTCTCCCTCCCCTTGCTCTTGTGCTCTGGCTTGTGCACACGTACTCTCTCACGCACTCTCCTTCTCAAATAAATAAAATCTTAAAAAACAAACAAAACCCCCCCCAAAAAACACAAATCCCTAAGTCCAGAGTGAAAATAGCAAAAAAATAAAATGAAGAGAAATGAAGCAGGGAGTAAATGCCCTTCTTTAGAGAAGAATGTCAACTAATAAATGCAGAAGAAATAAAAGAATTAGAAAATCACTTTTTTTGTGACCATTAAAGTGATAATTGAGGCCAGAATCATCAATGGAAAAAAAATCATCAATAAATGCCAAAACCACTGGGCAAAAAGTTGGGGGGGAGTGGAATCTTCAGTATCATCCCACAGACTATTAGAAAAAAATCTTTAAAATAGAGAAGTACAGTAAACAATACCCTTAATCAAGCTATGAGACTTAACATTATCAATAATGGGATAAAATGACCTCATGTGCCTTCTGATGCGATGCACTAAAGATACGTCACCACCTAGGTATTCTTTCTGCTAAAAATTTAACCTGAATCTAATCAGGAATAAGCAGACAAAGCTTAAGTCTGCAAAACTGGCCTGGCCTCTTCAAAAATGCCTGTATCATGAAAACAAACAAAAAAAGAGGCTAGGGATTTCTTCTATATTCTTATATATTCAAGGAGAGACAACAACTAAAGGCAATGCACGATACACACACTGTATCTAGGGAGGAAAAACTGGTTGTGAAGGGCATTATAGGGAAACTTTGGGACACCTGAATATGAATGGTATTTCAGATAATCATACCAATGTTTAGTTTTTGAACTATGATAATTGTATCTGGTTATATAAGAGAATGTTCTGGGTTCTCAGGATGTACAAAACATACATGGGTGAAATGTCATCATCAGATCTGCAATTCTCAAATGGTTCAGCATCCATCTCAATATAGATCTAGTATGTGTAGATAGTGAGTGATAAAAAGAGAGAGAGAGGAAGTGTGTGTGTGCTTGCATGCAGGGGGGGTGGGGGGCAGGAAGGAGGGAGAGGACTAACAGACAAGAATAATGGAGCAGCACCAACAATTACAATAAAAATATTGACAAGTGGTATATCCAGGTGAAGGGAGTATAGACATACAC